TATCTTTCAACTATTTATTATTACATGAAAAATAGATAGCTACAGTGCTTCAAAACGTATGAAGAATTACATATCAATATATGTGGTAGCTGTGTTTAAGCAGCATGGTTATTCCTTCATCCTTGCTATTTGACATCGAACATTCAGAGTCCAGATGAGTCGCCAATATCAAAACACAGGTGTTCAGTAGTCGTTTTATCTATTTTCTTTTACCCGAGAAGCCAAGTAGGAAATACAGTAATGCCGATACCATAAAAAGGGGAAGGGGAAAAAACTATGAAAGATTACCACTTGGAAAGCATTTCATTATGACTATTGCTATAGTATATATACACACATGCAGACACATTCACTCAGGCATGCACGCGCATGCAACCACACACACACGCACAGTCATTCAAAAATACTCTCAGACACATAAATGCACATTCTTTCGAAGCTCTTTACCAGAATTCACACGATTACCATGTGACTTGACTGGTAGAGTTTGCAGGTCATGATTCACAAAAGAGTAAGTGAACAGCAGATTTGTTGGCTATTGAGGAAAACCCTTTACTTCCCTTGCAACTGTGCAAGCTGTAATGCTGACATTGCATCTGTGACTGCAATCAATTAATACAACTTTTTTTTTTTTCCGGGAATCATAGGCATAAGTCAACAAAAGGGATCACTGCAATCATTAGTATTAACGTGCAATGAGCGAAATATCCATAAAGTAAACATCACAGAGAAGAGCACGTGGTTAACAGTCAATTTCTATAGTAAACATATGGAGGTAGAACAGTTACTTGAGATAATCTCTCTCTGAAGGAACCTTGATATATATATATATAGAGTGACCGATGTAAAAATTTTCTCACTCGATACTTTGCTGATGCACGGAATCTTGCATCAGTTAAAACTAGGAAAAAAGAGAAGTCAATTCCACATTGGAAACTGCCAACTTTCACTATAATTACTTTCTTTTAGTTCTCTATGAATGATGTACAGTGATCTGTCATGTTCTCTTAAGGTATTTTATTAATGCTGACATACCATTTCACATGCACATGTATATGAACACAGAAGAGTTCATATAGACACTCATGTTACTTCAAACAGTATGGTCAAACAATTATCACAATGTACCGGTATCTAAATAGGCAAAAAGAAGTAACTGCAGTTCACTGGTAAATAAAACTTTGTGCTACAATTACCAATCTACCAACTATTATTAAGTATGTATTTGTGACCATCACAACTTAGTAAACATAAAAAAATAAAAGCCTTTATAACTTTTAATGTAGGAAGCATGTCAAGATAGCTCAGAGAACTGAGAGCACATTCTGTAAAAAATAATAACAGAGACAATTGCCCCATCGTGCATTGCTACTGTCCACTGCAACAAACTGCATTGTGCAACCATGATGAATGATGCAGTCATATGTGTTGTACTGCTGTCATGAAGGGATGTGACACACAATGGCCAGATGCACACAACCCAGGCTTCACTGGAAATATCTGTATATCAAAACTTCAAACTGGCTTTACTCAAAAGCTGTTATATATATATTCATGGATACAAATAACAAACGCATACCGAGAAGCAAGAACTTGTGGGACTAAAGTGATCGTCATTGTACGTCGCTACAGCATTAGTAGAGGGGGTCTGGGAACATGGTACGTATGGAATCACTGTGGACAATGCTGCAGGAATATCACAAATACGTTAAATATATTTGCAAATTTGTTTCCCTTTTTAGGCCATTCACAAAAAAAAAAGAAAAAAGAAAAGAAAAGAAAAAAAATATATATATATAAATGAGAAAGAAAGAAGAAAATAATAAGAAAGAAAAAGGAAAAAGAAAAAAGGTAAAAAAATGAAAAAAGAAAGAGGAAAGACATAGCAAAATCAAAAGAATATATCCAAGATTCACAGAACATGAGATACTCCAAGAAGTGAAAAAAAATAAAACAACGAAAAGGAAAAAAAAATGCATCATGGGACTATGGTAGACTGGATACAAAACTATTAGTTTACATGTGCACTTTGCTCGAGTGTTTTCAAAAGAAGACTGCAAAACCAGGAAAAGAAACACATAGCTAAGAATGTTGACGTGAAATTTCCCTCTGTCGCACAATAAAATATTGGTATTACCATTTCTGACAGAATTACAATACTGTAAATATTTCCTCTGTTACATCATTAGATTTTGATAGTACACATTTCAGCCAAAGAAGACTGATGTAAGGTTTCCATCACATCATAAAACTTTGACAATTTCAAGAGGTTTAACTAACATTATGTATATATCAGTAATCCAAAAGTCACAGGATGGATGACCCTGCCTGACTTGTACCTGCAAAATTTAGCATTACACGGGTCATTTGTCAAGATTACACTTCCAATACATGGTCTAAATAACATATTACATTCTGAATACCTAAATTAGTTTCAGACTTATATACCATTAAGTTTACAAGTGATAAAAATAATCTGCAAAAACCTTTTTTATTATCTCTTCAAACTTGGATAAAAAATATTCTACAGAAAAGGATAAATTACAGATAATTATGGGAATGAAATTTTGTCATGTATACAAAGCAGTTCATCCTTTTCCTTTTTTTAATATTAGCTATACACAATGATTTTTCCTCCCCCATCACAACGAAAATCCCACTGCTTCCTCTTACACCTAATAATATGCTCGAGAACGGAAAGAATTACCTCCTAAAACTGATCCATAAGATTATTGCCTTTTACATACTATCTTTAACGTCTACTTCTACAATGCACCTTCCTTATCAAAACAATTCCCTCCCACTCTACGTTTCCTATCAATTTCGAAGCTGCTATTGGAGAGAGAGTCTGCTATGAAATATATCATCATACTCTGAAAGAGGTTCCAATGCTTAGTGTAACATACGAAATTACTTCATATGGACACAAAACGTGCGGCTAATTTTGCGAATCGCTCAAACAAACGCGGGGAAACACACCCCTTAACTTGTACCATAATAGGTTCCCAGGATGCTACTTATAACCTAAAAGTCCTAAGGTTTAGATGTCACCGTTGCTTTGGCCAAATCCAAAGATGCCTCCACAACTAATTTCACAATCTAGTTTCTAACTCTCATGGTATATTGTCATTGACAACACTCACTCGGAAACTAGAAACTTGGAATAATGAGTCATTAGAATAAATAGGACCTATATACATAAGTATCACAAAATAGATGTGTTCTATAACCATACTTTTCACAGAAAAAATATCAGATCCAAAATCTAATATATGCCAAGATGGACACTTGTCATGATGCTAAATGCATTTCAAAATGTTTAGTAAATATCAAAATGGTATTAGGAAATTAGGGAGAGAGAAGGCCCTAAAAATCAGGTAGTAAATAAAAAGAGGATAAGACATGAAAAAAGGAGGGAGAAAGGAAGGAAGAAATGGAGAAGAGGTACAGAAGGAGGAGGAGGAGGAGGAGAAGAAGGAAGAGGAAGAAAGAGAAGAGACAGATGGAAGGATCCAATAAGGGAAGAGGGAGAGGAGAGGAAGAGGAAGCTGATAGAAAGAATAAGGCAAATAGAGGATAAGGAGGCAGAAAGGACATAAAAGAAAGGAGGACCAAATGGTGAAGAAAACATGATGATATCAATTTACTAATGCACACTGCAAAGAAATATGACAAAAGGTGAGGACAGAACATAAAGACGAAAAAAAAAAAAGTACGAAGGAAAAAAACAACAACAGAAAACAGAATACAAAACAAAACAAAACCAGAACATCTTTTTCTTGAAACAACAAAACAATACAAATTTAATCAATCGCAAGTGACATTAATCTACGAGGAAAAAAGGGTACCGTAACTGGGGACAAAGAAAATGGGGAGAGGGGGGGAGGGGAACTAGGTACAGAGAAAGTTCAACAGAACACTTTTCTAATTATTTCCTAAGTTGGAAGCAGTATATAAGGGCCACATTGAGATATGGAGGGTGTTTCTTAGTTGTTTTTTTATTAACATTATCATTATTATTATTATTATTATTAATTATTATTATCATTATCTTATAACTCAACATTTCAGCATTAGTAGATGAATATATATATAATATATAGCTACCATCATACCTGACAACTATCTACCCATAACTTAATTCCTAATCCACAGTTTTGGAATGTGATAATATTTGCAGTTGGACACTTGGCAAAATATTCACATAGAAAAGGTGTTACAACAGAATTCTCCTAACGAGAGAGATAAAGCTATCACTTGTGGTACTTCTCTACCACAGGTTACAAGCAGAGTCTGGTTGTCTCGTGTGGTTCAGCTGTTTTTGCACACACACACAGCCAATAAATGCTTCAAAACATTTCCTTCCTTTCTCCTAAATAAAATAGATCTATATGTATGTGTATGTACATATATTTTTAAACGGTTTGGGATCCTTTTTAAACGTTACAATGAAAACTTGTTTGGTGATAATAATAAAGATCATAAAAAAAAAAGAAGTTAATACAGTTTCTATAAGTGCCAATACTTTAATGCCTTTAAATGCATATATAAAAGTCTCCTCTTTACTTATTGTTAAAAAGATGACAGCTTTTCCTGCAACAGAAAGCCTCTGCCTAACAAAAGTATACATGTTACACTCCACTGCTACAATTAAAAGGAAGGCAGAGAGTGAAAGATATTACATAAATGAAACAGGTACCTCCCATAACATCTACGAGCTACAATGGAGTTTACTAGCTATTCCAAACCCTGATATATGTCTAATATATGTCTAATCAATACATAGTTTTCCCTTGGAACTTATTGGTACTAACAGCCTTCTGACTGGGGGGGAAAAAAACTTACAGATCAATGATGATGACCTACAAAGTGACAGTTTCTCACTGTTGTCTCTAAGTACATTCTACCTGATGTAGATCCCCTGACACAGATCTTGTAGGCCGTTGGAAAGAATGAAAAAAGGAAGGAAAAGAACGAGACAAGAAGAGCCAAAAACAGAAGCGAAAAGAGGACATGAAAAGAGGGAAGAAAAGAAAGAAAGAGAAAGGGAAGAGAAGAGCCAAAGAAGAAGAAGATTGAGGTAAAACAGCTGTGTTGATGCCTGGGGAGTAGTCTACAAAAAATCATGATAACATCTTTGCCTTCAGAGATGCACTGAAACATCGGACAATATTTTTCCTCTTTGCTTAATTACGTTAACTCACAGCTGAATAATTATTCATCTTCACTTTCCGACTCCACGTTCTCATTATCGTCGTCTTCCTCCTCTTCCTCTTCCACCACGTCCTCCCCCATCTCGTCCTGTTCCCTCTCACTGTCTTCCTCAATGTCTTCACCCTCCTCCTCCTCCTCGTCCTCAGCATCTCCGTCTTCCCCTTCATCTACGTCCATCTCCTCTTCCCCAACTTCATTGTCATCGTCGTCCTCTTGGGCATCATTCTCCTCATTTTCCTCCTCCTCCTCGTCTTCCTCTTCTGCATCCTCATTTTCCTCGTCTTCTTCTGCCCCTTCGTTTTCCTCTTCCTCTTCCTCCTCCTCCTCTTCGTCATTCTCCTTTCCGTCCTCCTTTTCCTCGGCATTCTGTGGAGTCGAGATGCATTAGAATTCAATCCCTCGCGCACACACACACACACAATCAAAAAAGAAAGAAAGAAAGATATTATGGAAAGGCACAAACTACAACAAAAGCAAGAATAAAAGGGAATGTTGCAGAAATAAATATGTTTAATTTTCTTTCTTTTTTTCTTGTTTGGTGTAGATTCCAAAATCCTTTTAGTCAAACGTCAAGAATTCAATAAAATTAAGCAGCTATAACTAATATGATGGGCCTATATCAGTATCTCTGGTAGATATTCTGCTACATAGACATGTGCACTTCTACCATCAAAAGTTTACAAACATTAGCTCTGCCAATACTGAAGACAATCTTGTAATTAATATCTTCAGGGCAATGATTCCAAATTTTCTAAGTAATGCCTTCATAGTCTATAAAATTCAGTTGTTATTCACACAATTTTACACCAGAATTACTTCAGATTATACCCTTCTATGAGCTATGAGCATGGAGTACTTTTTACTACTAGGCTGAAAATGAACCAACTTGGGGTAAAAAATCTTGTTGATTCTTATATGGAGAGTCCACTGATTTCCGAGTAGCCAAGTAAGTAACAAAGGAGTTTAGCGGGTGCTTGCAAAGCTACAAATTGAGGTCTGTAGTTGACTATGATGAGAGAAAAGGGGCAATAAATTCTTCACAGTATTTCCTCATTCACTGGGAAAAGTAAGACTTACAAGCAATATTCCCTAAACACTTCTGTGGCAGCTAGCAATAGTCAGATAGTAAGCAAGGTATGAAAAGAATAGGAAAAGAATGTAAAGAAACAAACATATATTTACTCACATGCACGTAAACCATTTTCCATGTTCCTAGGAATGGATCTTAATTTGTTTCTGGTGCTGTATATTACAATAGAGATGCCAACAAACATTAAAACTGAACAGACTATAATCATTATTTATCTTTACTATTACTTTTTCTTTTTTAAGAGGGGACAGGGGGGGATGATGTACAAAGAGTATATTAATAGAAAAGATACAAGCAAAGCAACCCAAATTCTCCATGTTAATGAGGCACAACTCGGACTGTGCAACCCACACTTTCACACTCACATTCACAATCTCTGCAATCTAAGGATAAGTCTACAGGTCACTGGGTGGCCGTGAACTGCAATGTGCGGCCACCAATAAAGATCGCCACCCGGCCACCAAAATGAGCCTACCTGGGCCTTTTTCATGGGAGATTTAGATGGGCTTCTACCATTCCTTAAACATCTAGAGCACTGGTATGAAGCCGAACTCTTGGAGGAAGTGGTTAGGCCATGACTACGGGCACATGGGAGGTGGAAAGCGGAATCACAGGTCATGCAAGGCAGCAGCTGTGCATGACCGCCTTTCTTACTGGGTCCTAAACCACAGTACACGCATGAATTGCTCATCTCGTACTGCAAACCACACGTAAAAATGGGAAACCTCAGGGATTTTTGTTTTGTTTATAGAGCAGGTTGTTAGGAAAAGCAGAAAAAAGAGGAATAAAAGCTTAAGCATACATTTAAAATACTTTACACACACTTTGCATGAATTAAAAGAAATGAAAAAAAAGAAAAGAAGAAGAACAAAAAAGTTAAGTCATTAACCAAATCATCAATAATGGTGTAAAAACCCTAAAAAAATCCAGAAATACTAATTATTAAGTATTTCACTTCCCCCCCCCTTATAAAAAAAGAAAGAAAGAAAAGAAAGAAAGAAAGAAAGAAAGAAAGAAAAAAAAAAAAAAAAAAAAAAAAAAAAAAAAAAAATACTTGAGCATGCAGCGAGCAGCAGATACAATACTTACATCTTCCTCTTCCTCCTCCTCCTCCTCCTCTTCCACCTCTTCTTCTTCCTCCTCCCCCTCCCCCTCCCCCTCTTCTTCTTCTTCCTCTTCCTCTTCCTCCTCGTCTTCACTAACAATTCTATAATTCTTCTTTCCGGTGGCTCTTCGTGAGCTCCTCCTGCTGGAAAAGCGTTCAGGTTGAAACATTTCGCTAATGGAAGTTACTAAATGATATAATTCAATGTGGGTGTTGTTTGCAATTTAAGTGTTTTCAAAAAGTGAATCTGTCTTCAAAATGTTTGCCAAGTTAAAATTTTTTGCATAAAAGTTGTTGAACAATAACTATAGCAACAAACAACAATAAATAATAAAAACAATAACAATAAAAAATACTATCAAAGTTTGGTTCAACATAGAACTTTTACAACAACAACAACAAAAAAAAAATGCCTCTCAAGAATAAAAAGAAACTAGCATCTAGGACAACCTCAGAGGCTAAATTTGTGCAAAACCAAACAATAACAATCCCTCACCTTCCCCTTGATCTAGACGGACGCTCCTCATAATCCTCGTCATCGTCGTCTTCCTCCTCCTCGTCAGAATCTGTGTACCGTGCTCTCGCTGAACGCCTCAGGGTTTGTCTTCCGCCACTACTTCCCTTGCTGCTGCCACCACTGCGCTTCTTCGATTTTTCTCCGCTTCTTGACCGGCTTTTGCTTTCCTTAGTCTTTTGGGAGAGAGATACAAGATTATATATGTATTTATTTATCCATTTGTTTATCTTTTTATCTTTATTTCTATCTTTGAATAAGATTATTTTTACCCACCCTCAAAAAATCCTCCTCATCCAGTTCTTCTTTCTATGTATAGCCTCGATAATAGTAAAGAGATGCTTAACACTAACTGGATTACTACAAACATGCAAAACATACCGTTTCTTTTTCTGCCTGGAATGGTGTTCTTGAGCTGACTGATCGCCCAGATCGTGTCTTCTGTTTGGAAGAAGCACTTTTGCAGTCGACGCACTCCCAATCTTTCCTGTAGAGTAGAAAAATAACTCCTATTTACTGGTCTTGCACAGACAAAGTAATTGTTAAAACTATTCCTTCAACAACTGCAAAAACTTGAAGCACAAATAATGTTTATCATACAGTCTGCATATGCAGCAGGCACTCCAAATACACAAGTACCAAAAACACTGCACAAACACCCAAATTTATATATGACTCCATATCTCACCTGGCACGTGTCTGGAGGGGTGGGTCATGACACTCTGAATGATAAGCAGCAGGACACTTGCTGCAGAAGATGAGACCCAAGCCACGCTCACACACTCTACAAATCTTCTCCTGCTTAATTTCACCGCGGACTTCAGGTTCCTCCTCCCCTTGGCCAGCCTGGAAAGATTAAAGTGTTTATTAATTTACCCGTTGATTAGTTTGAGATATGACTTAACCTAATGCTGCCGGGTAAAATGAACAAAAAATGGGGAAAATGCTGTGCCCACTTTCTATGTTTTTCGTGAAATGTCTGCCGATAGATGGCTCTGCTAGTGCCTGATTTGAAATGGCAGGAAAAACGTATTTTTCACTAATGCTATGAAAATCGATGGTGTTATTTTTATCATAAACATTATAATTTTTACAATGTTTTTTAACATTAGGAACAGCAAAATAAGATATGTAAAATATTTCGTAAATCAAAGAAAAGGGTAAACGGTGAGACAGGAAGTACTCGTAATTGGCTCATTGGGGAGTTAGTACAAGTGTTGCCATCTATGTATAAAAACAATTAAACAAGTACTCATGGTGGGCATAGCACGTACGTACACGTCATACCCGGCGGCATTGGGTTAAGATATACAGTTAAGCCTAGCTTGTAAAATAATGTTTCTTTGAACTTATCCCATTCCCTACAGCTATATCATATGATGCCATTAAAAAAAATAAAGAAGAATGACATCTTATCTCTTTATAAGATTTTCCTTCCACTGCCTGGGCTGCAGTTGATGATAAGACTTTACATCCTGAATAATTCTCAATATCTATCAAAGCATTTATTAATTTTTTTGTCTTATATTTTAGTCTTTTTTGTTAGTTTATATTTGACTTAAAAAATGTTCATTGTTGTCCATGGGTTATTTGCATAGTGCAAATGTGATATCAACCTGTTACACCTTCAAATGACCTGAAGGATGAACACAAGGTTTAGAAGAGGAGGTTGCCATTTGGGGTCAAAACTCCTGATAAAAGTTCACTCTCACTTTCTTCTTTTCTTTTCTTCATGATTATGATTATAAACTTGTTTTATGCTCAGTCAGTATGTGATAGTCAAGTCAAGGTAAATCATAACAACATTGAGGATTACCCCAACATTCTGATGTGCTTTATCTGTCATAAATGGACAAGATGCATCACCATGAAGTCAACTATCCACATTAATGAGATGGTCAACTTTATAGCCAAATGACTAGGAGTTGTTCAAGTCAAATTCCATATGGTGGACTAACTGTCTGGATGAACAGTGACTATCTGAACAACCAATTCACTCAGTATTATCTCACAATGTGCAGGGCCAACAAGTGGTACAGGAAGGGTTAATTTCAATCCTCATAAGCAAGGGGAGTTTTCAATGCTTTTGCTGTATAGAAACCTCTCAGGAGCAGGATGATGAAAGTGTGACTTTTGGCTGGACTTCACATACTCTCTCTTTTACAGCTCAGGGAATCTGAACAAGGACTAAGGACTACATGGCCTGCCAAACCTCCAGCCCCTGCAGAATTAGCTGCAGTGTAATCGGTAATCCAAGTGTAAGCAGCCATTTGTTGGTTTTGTGACAAACAATGCTTGAGGTGAAATGGAGAATAAAATATCTGTTACAAGATGTAACTCATAGTGCCTTATCATTACCTATGCAAGCCATGGTATGATGGCCAGAACAGACAGCTATACATGGTCTTGTTCAATGCCCACATACAGTACACATAATTTCCATCTGGAGTAATGGATATTTATTGTACCCCTCCCCCTAAACACATCAACAAAAATTCACACATCTTAAACAATACTGCTTATTAATTTTTAATAATGCTGATACTGGCTCTTGAATGAATCATTCTACTGCAAAGAACACTTTCCCATAGAACAAGACTCCAAACACACATTCCACTTACTTTACTTCTCTCTCTGTTGACTCTGTTATTCTTTTTGGGCTGGCAAGCAGGACACAGCCAGGGCTCAGGTGGCGTCTCCCGCAGCTGTGGACGCATGCAGCTCCAGTGGTAGCTACCTTCACACTGGTCACAGATGGCGAGTGGTATACTGGTGTCTTGGTGACGACACACTTTGCATTTCTGTAATGTTACGCATATTATTAGGGCCTTTTTGTATACAGAAATACAGATACAGGAGCATGACCAAATAATTGTATACATAAAAGTGCCATCCATAATTATAAGAACATACATATACAAAGTTTAAAAAATACAAAAATATCACAATTTCAATTAACAACCAAAACTCTCTTCCAGTAACTGACCTTTGTGGCTATGGATTTCTCCCACTTTATGCACGAATCAAACATGCTCACAAGCAGGTGTAACCGGGACAGGGTTTGGCTGTTCATCACTGAATCTCTCCATTGTTGAACTGCAGGATTCTCCAACTCCTCATATTCTGTTGATGAAGAAGTGCTTCAACAATTCTATCAAAGAACGAAGATGTAAATATGCAATTTGTATACTTAATAATACAGCCATTCAAAAAAGAAATGTTTTCCTTAGTTTATCTCTTTCTTCCCTCACTTATTCCCTCTGCCTTTCCTCTCTGCATCCCCCTCTCTCCTCACTTCCTCACCCCCCTCCGCTTGTATCCCTCTCTTCCTTCCTTTCTCTTGCCATTCCTTCCTGTCTGTTTGTCTGTCTGTCCAACTCTCTCCCTATCTTCTTTCCATCCTCTGCCTCCCACCCCTCCCCCTCTAAAGTAACAAAACCTGGGAAAATTATTTGGCTTATAAATCACTCTACCTGTGGGCAATTCCGGATTTTCTGACGGCATGGGCTTCTTGATTGGGGCCATGATTCCCTTCAGATACTTGAACTGTATGTGGCGCTGGACCTCCACCAAACACTCGGATAACTCCTGCTGTGTTGATGCCTTTGAGAAAGAGTAAAAAATTCTGATTATCACCAAGATCAAAATATGAATGAACACACGAACCAAGAAAAAAAATTGCCAGTCTCAGTTGCAGTGCAGAAATATAAGATCCTTGTAGCAAAATGGTGGCAGAGAGCATAGTAGTTTTCTTTTTTTTTTTCAGACTCACCGAGCCAACCTTCGGTCAGCTCCCGCTCAATCTGAATGATGTCTTCCCTCAGGGACTCCATCAGCTGTTTGGCACCATCCTCGAGCTCATCTAGGGCTTCTTTTCTGTAAAGATCCCAGAGGAAAACCAACCATTAGGTTCATTTCGAATATGCCCAAAATCAGTACATTAACCAACCATTAGGTTCATTTCGAATATGCCCAAAATCAGTACATTAACACTTATCTTGACAACAAACAAAAATTGTGATTAAGAAGGGGAAAATGCCATATCTTCTTTCAAGATTACTGTGACTATGAAGCAGAAGCTACAAGGATATCACATACATTAAGTATTGAGACTTACATTCTTCTTTTATTTTTTTATGATGCACATTTGCTTGAAAAATTAACAAATAATAAAAGCTTTGCAACTGTGATAATGCTTACGGTTTTGTTATAGATTCTTCTAAATGTTTTCTGTGGTTTAAAATGGATGTCTTCAGAGGAGCTTCTCGAGCACCTTTCTCGGCCAAGGCTTCCAAGAGTTTGTCCACCTCTTCTATAGAACTGCAAAATAAGTATAAAAATCAGTAAGCGTAATACAACGTCCTACTAGATGCTCAAGAATTCTTACATCAGCTTGTTTACAAACCTTTCAGAAGGAAACATATAACTGTACCTAAAATCAGCCTCAAACTAAGAACTCAAACCAGGCGGCACTTACTCGTAATGGAACCACAAATTCTGTCCAACTGAAGGGAATGTGTCATCCTCATCATCATCCGGTGGTTTGACCAGTCTGGGCCTTCCCCGGGGACTTGCCGTACTGCTAACCTGCACGTAATTAGGATTGTTAGCATTAAAACCAGTGGGCTTGTTCAGTCTGGGCCTCCCCCGGGGGCGTCCAGTACCTCTAACGGGCGTGCTAATGGGACTGCTAGCACCCGCTGTCAAATCACAGGGTTTGATCTTTCTGGGCCTTCCCCGGGGACGTCCTGTACCTCTCAGAGGAGTTCTACTGGGACTGCTAACGCTCAGCGCCAAATCACTGGGCTCAACCTTGGGGGTCAGGTCGGCGGACATTCCTGCACCGCTACTCTGCTCATCGCTTGGCTTGACGGGGGTTCCCACACAGCTACCCTGCTCATCACTTGCTCTGACAGTCGTTACCACACCGCTACCCTGCTCATCACTTGTTTTGACAGGTGTTCCTGCATAGCTACCCTGCTCAGCGCTTGCTTTAACAGTCGTTACCACACCGCTACCCTGCTCATCGCTTGTTTTGACGGGTGTTCCAGCACAGCTACCCTGTTCAGCACTGGGTCTGACAGGCATTCCCACAGAGCTACCCTGTTCAGCATTTGGACTGTTAACATTCAAATCAGAAGGCTTGATCTTTTTCGGCCTTCCCCTAGGACGAGCTGCACTGCCAACCTGTGCATTATTTGGACTGTTAGCAATAAAACCAGTGGGCTTGTTCAGTCTGGGCCTGCCCCGGGGACGTCCTGTACTGCTAACCTGCGCGTGATCAGGATTGTTAACAATTAAAACCATAATTCAGGACAATATTGAATAGTCTTAGGAAACATATATTCAGACATATGATAGTAATCAAAACAAGAACAGAAGAGAGAAGAAAGTAAAAGGGGAAAAGGAAAAAAAGCAAAGAAGAAAACAAAAGCCAATAATATCACAGCATCAATAAGTCAAAACACAAGACAAAAACTGTATAAGCAAAGCAAAACAAATCAATCACTAGCCTGAAAATTCATCCAGGTACAATGAACTCAACCCAAAAGACCTCCACGCAAGAGATTATCTTTTTACCTTTTTCTGGGGCGTGGTGGCCAATTCCTCCTTTATGGCCGAGAGAGGCTTGTCGTCGGAATCTGACTCGGACTCCTGCTTGATACTCATTTTGGAGGGCGAGCTGGCTGTTCCCTTCATTGGGGATTTGGGCTGGAATAAGAAGAGGTAAAGGTGTAAAGAGGGAAAAGTCAGAGAAATATATATACATATGTGATACTTTGTTACGATTTCTAGTTTTACATAGAATAAACAAATATTCTAGGTTGCACACACAGTCCACACCAGACCTAGACCAAAGATCCATTCTTAATCATGTGATTCATACTGTTGCCTAGCAATTATAAGGATGGCAATGAAAATCTGTGTTGCAAGGGGTCACTTAGCTTGAGTGGATCAAAATAAATGGCATTAAAACATTTCAGGAAATCAATATAAAATCCTACATTTGGTTTCTGCAGTGCATTCATTTGTGTCAAACAATTTTTTAAGCAAATAATCATTTATAAAGTTGGTTTTACAGAAGTGTAGCTGATGATACCAATTTCAAGTTTCCAAGTGTGCTAGTTATATATATAAAAAAGAGGATTTCCCACAAACTGCAATTTTTGAGAAAGGGGTGTGTTGTTGACATAATCAAACACTAGTAAAATGACCTTCAGGTAGGCCTTTCCAGAGATTAATGGCATTGCTTTTGCTGCAATCAGCTAAGTGCTCAATAAAACAGCACTTTCTAAAAGCAGAAAGCCCTGGCTGACTAGGGGATTTATCGTAGGCCCTCAAGCATACCACTTACATCATGGGCCTAGTGTGTGCTACCTAGAATATGATCTGTTCTCTGATATGTTAAGATATATTTCAATAGGTGAGGAAAGAGGGAGAATACAAGGGAAAATAGGGATGAGGGTGAAAGTAAAGGAGAAAGATAAGAACAAGAAAAAATGGGAAAGAAATGAGGAGAGGAGAAGAGAGAGAGAGAAAAGAGAGGATACAAGAAAAGATAGCGAGGATACACGAACAAAGATGTATATCAATCGTCCCCCATCTCTAATTGTGGATAACAAAATGTGATTTACCTTTGTACAATATGTGGTGTTGGAGTCCACCCAGCCCTTCTCAATGAAGAGGCCTGGAGTGGACTTGAAGATCCAGTATCGGTCGTGATTTCTGTCCACCCCTAAGGGCTGCAAGCGGATCAGACACTCCTTCTGATTCAGTACTTTCTCGTACTCCAGGACGACCATCTCTCGTTTCCTTTCCTCTTCTTCCTTCATTAACCTGTAATAATAACGATAATAATAACAACTCGTAATAAGACTTCCAAAAGCAAATGATACGCACCAATATACTCAAATAGTAAGAAAAAGAAAGGAAAGGAAAGAAGAAGAAAAATAAATAAGTAAATAAAAGTAGAAAGACTTACTGTTCGCGTTCCTGCTGCTTCAAAAGTTCTTTCTCCTTTCTGGACTCCTCAGCAGTCAGTCGCCTGTTCTTGACCCGAGATATTATGTCTGGTCCACTTTCCTCTTCCTCCTCTTTCTTCCCATAGAAGGAATCCAGTGTGACGGCTACAGGAAGACAAATAAATTACAATGAAAAAGCAGATACAAAATTTGTTTTCAAAATGACATTAAAAAAATAAAAAACAGGGAGAGGATGAAGAACAGAGTGAGTGGATGAGTGAGAGTGAGAGTGAGAGAGAGAGAGAAAATGAGAGGAGAGAGAGAGAGAGAAAATGAGAGGAGAGAGAGAGAGAGAAAATGAGAGGAGAGAGAGAGAGAGAGAGAGAGAGAGAGAGAGAGAGAGAGAGAATGAGAGGAGAGAGAGAGAGAGAGAAAATGAGAGGAGAGAGAGAGAGAGAGAATGAGAGGAGAGAGAGAGAGAGAGAATGAGAGGAGAGAGAGAGAGAGAGAGAGAGAGAGAGAGAGAGAGAGAGAGAGAGAAAGAATGAGAGGAGAGAGAGAGAGAGAGAGAGAGAGAGAGAGAAAGAATGAGAGGAGAGAGAGAGAGAGAGAAAGAATGAGAGGAGAGAGAGAGAGAGAGAGAGAGAATGAGAGGAGGGAGAGAGAGAGAGAGAATGAGAGGAGGGAGGGAGGGAGGGAGGGAGGGAGAGAGGGAGAGAGAGAGAGAGAGAGAGAAAGAGAGAGAGAGAGAAAATTCATGTTAAAACAAAAAGAATAAATGGATAAATAAAGAATACAACTATAACTAGTAAATAAAGCATATTAAATGTATGAAGGATGACACTATTAAAAAATTTGCAACTCAAGCGAATTAAAATATACGGATATTATCTCAAAATACTTTTAAACATTTAATTAACGTCATAAGGAATTAAGAGCGAGAGAGAGAGAGAGAGAGAGAGAGAGAGAGAGAGAGAGAGAATGTAGAGAGAGAGAGAGAGAGAGAGAGAGAGAGAGAGAGAGAGAGAGAGAGAGAGAGAGAGAGAATGTAGAGAGAGAGAGAATGTAGAGAGAGAGAGAATGTAGAGAGAGAGAGAATGTTGAGAAAGAGAGAATGTTGAGAAAGAGAAAATAAGGAGAAAGAGAAACTGAAGAGAAAGAGAGAAAATGGGGAGAAAGAGAGAGAAAATGAGGGGGGGAGGGAGGGAGAGAGAGAGAGAGAGAGAGAGAGAGAGAGAGAGAGAGAGAGAGAGAAGAGAGAGAGAGAGAAGAGAAGAGAGAGAGAGAGAGAGAAGAGAAAAGAAAGAGAGAGAGAAAAGAGAAGAGAGTGTTAAGTGAAGACTCTTCCAACACACCTTTCTTTTTGGGGCTGTAGCCTTTGGGACGGCCCGGGGACTTTTTGGTAATGCTTGTTTTGTCGGTCTTCTTCTTTATGCGTTCCTCCTTCTTCTGCTTCTTCTTCTCCATCTCCTCCTTCAGTGTTTGTTTCTTAATCTGTGCACGCTCCTTGTAGAGAGAGTACACCTTCTCTTCCAATTCTTCCACGTGTTCCTAATCATGAGAGTAAAACAGACCCATTCTTAGCAGGTTTATATAAAAATTCTGAAGCATGTGACACAGTCCTACGTATATTAACAAATGCAATAAAAATAAGCAGATATATATCTATATAACTATATACATATCTACATCTATATCTATATTATATAAATATATATATTTTATATGCATATGCGAAGTTATATAAACATATCACACACATTGCTTGTTTTATATCATAACTGCAGTGAAATGACCTATTTAAGGATATCAATGTTCCAGACAAAAGGATAACGATGCTAACGTCGCTACAACCAGACAAACGCAATACTCACGATTGCTGCATATGAAGCCATGGCATGATGGCACAAGGCTTTCAGGACCATGATAATGTCTTCGGTTTGGAGTTCATACAGCTCACACGACTCTAGTTTCTCCAGCAAGCCATCAGACTGAAATTCAAATTAGAAAGATATCTCAGGAAACGGAAGGAATAATTGCGTATTACAGGTAAAAGCATATTATCTATCTTACTTGCACGAAGATAAATTCCGCCAAAGAAACGGAGAATGAGAAAGAAAGAAATTAAAAGTCATTTGAAAAAAGAAACCAGACAAAACTACATTCTTGTATTGTTTATACTCCCGAGTGTATATATAAAACAAACAAGCAAACAAACACACACAAATATATTTGGGTATAGACACATACGACATAAAAAAGGAACAAGAGTTATATTCTATTTAATTTACTTGTTATCATAATGTTATAATATATGCTTGCTATCACTCTAATTCGGACTGATATAGAAACAAATCAAGAACTCTTATATGCTGATTTTTAAATGAAATACTGCTCAAGGTCCTCACCAGTGCAGTAACGAATATAACTTGTCATCTTAAATGTTAAAACACCTTCACACCTGTCCTAGCAAAGACCTCCGTTAATATACTTTACACTTTGTCATATTTTTAAGACTTACTGATCAGTGAAAATCATGCTTGGTGCCACAACAGCAGGATCATGTGACATTTCTAATAACCCTTGTTGATTGTTTGTCATTTTGAACTCTTCAGACTGAATATCAAGCTTAAGGCCTTTTATGAATATGGACCATGTATCTGATATATTTGACCATATTACTTTAATTCAGTATTTGTTCAATATTCATAAAACAGAAGCAATTTACAAAATACTTATTGACCTATGGGTTAATATGTAGTGGGTTTATTTACTGTCCCCTTTAGATTTTAGTGCATTCAACAGCAAGGAGCCTATCAGTTGGCCTTAGTAACCAATCCTGATTTCCCCATTCCTTGAATTTGTGGGAAAATGCATTTTTCTTTCTAATACTGTTAATATTGACCTTGTTATCATTCTTATTGATATTATAATTACTAAATTATTATCAAAATATTAATAACATCTAAGACAATAAAATCACAGAAGTGAAGCTTTCAAAAAATGAAGGAAAGGGGTAAACAGATGAAATATGTAAGACTAACAGCTGACTCCTTGGTGACTAGGCACTTGCATTATTGCACTATTACAGTGGATATGACACTGTAGTCTTGCACCCAAGCTCACTGAGTTAATAAAGATTGCCAATAATTTTCTAATGACTCAAAACAACCACCACTCAACAGCCACCAAAATTACACAAGAACTCTGCAGAAAATACCAAATAGAAACTTACCAGCTCATTCTGCTCCTCTCCCATGTCATCGTCAGAGTGCTGACTGACGGCATCTGAGGTCTCCTTTTTACGGAGGCAGAGTCGTGCAAGCTCTATGGCGGTTTGGTAATGAATGGTCAGGTCTTTGATCTTAACACCTAGTTCCTGTAAATGAAAAGACAATGTATGATACACAAGGAGAAAAAGACGAAGAAGAACAAACCAACTGAATAATTTTCACTCAAAACGATACCTTAGCACATATAGCAAGTGTAACACTATTACTGAATCAACATTATCCGAATCAATAAACATGCTGGTGAGTAGGACATACCTTTCTCTCGCCAAATCTCTCGTCATCAAGAATTACATGCAGCAGAAGGCTTATGACTTCAGCAATAATTTTGTAACCTTTCGTTCCTGCAGAGAGCGCTTGTAAGAGTTTGTTACACGTAATACTCATCTTCTTCTCAGGTACAAGTATTTCCCTGTAGCAGTCGATAAACTCTACAATCATAGCCACATCCCCAAAGAGTGAGTTTGGAATTTCCTGTTATGGAAGAGAAAAAATATGAAAAAATTATTTACAGTAATCATAGTACAACAAGAACAACATATTAATTGCATTATCATAATTTCAAGTTTATCTCTCTATCTTCACTCAAATGCTACATACAGAAACAAATCTAAAGAGTAATTAAATGGCTTTAGGCTCGGAAACTGACCTCCGGGGTGGAGACGAGCTTTGGCTGAGGGAGCGGCTTGGTGTCCATGAGAATCTTGTCCTCAATCTTGCGTTTCAACTCGCGCTTGGTCTGGATACGCTTCTCAGCCACTTCCCTGGCCTGGGAGAATTATTAGAATTTTTAATATACAGAAAACAGCCTTAAGATGCACCTAAGTAATTTGGCTGGAAAGAAAAAGTGTTAATACTATATTCACATCATCAAAGTTCAAAGACATGTGTGCTGTTCATGTCGCACAATCTTGTTGAAATTTGTTGAAATTTATGTAATTTCTTTGCACTTACTTGTAAATAATACATTTATAAAGATTGATGAGGTGGCAAGAAGGAAGTAGAAAATTATGAAATTTAAAAACAATAGAAACTCAAGTAAGCCCTAATGCTTGGATTTTGGTCCTTGTGCTGTCAACAAAGCACTTGCATCCAAGGGAATAATATAAAGAAGAAAAAAGGAAAAAAGAAGAAAAAGAAAGGAAAAAACTGGGGGAAAAAAAATGCATAAATAAATAAAAAAATTAAAAATAATAATTACCTTTTGCTTGAGATATTCTTCTCTCTCCTCTGGCGCCATCTTGGTTAAAATGCGTTTCTCAATGATGCGCTCATGTCTCTTCATCAGATCATTTCTTATACCCTCATCAGGGATTACCTATTAAACAAACACCAATGATCAGGTTTATCAAAGTAACACCAATTTCAAGTATTCTAAAGCATAATAAATATATTTCAAGCTGAGAAGCAAAAAAACAAAAATCATAAATGAATTTCCATTTAATTCATTCTTAACCTTGATTATACGTGGCTTGTCATTATCTGGCAGCCATGACGCTTTTTATTGTCAATGGGATGTATTGAGTGCCTGTTACTATATCTAGTATTTACTCCCAAATCCTGTTTCTCCTGATAGGCCCTCCTCTAATCTTATAGTTAGAACCCTCCTCCTACTTGTGGATGGAATGTTTCGTGCATGAAGTAGCAATTCTGGCATTGTATAGCGTAATGCATATCTTATCCCCACAATTTGTAGTAAATTGACAATATGTAAATCCAACAGTTTCCGATGCCATGAACCAAAATCTGCCTACGTAAAACATGAAAACTCTGGCCTCTTTCTACAGCCGAGGGAAGGGACAGATAAGCTAGAGGATTTGAGATTTTATGGGATTAAAATGTAAATACTAAGCAGACACAGACCTCTACTTGCTGGATGGAGAGCTTCTTCAGCACTTGATCCATGGTGTAGACCAGCTTGCGGCCTCCCCCCTGCACTCCTTTGTAGTGTTTGTAGTCACTCACCATTTTCTTCATTAGAGGTAAGCGCATAACAGATTCTGCTGTGATTTCCTGAAAGTGACAGAGAAATGTATTAAAAGGATCCTATGATAAATATTTATGGCTTGTTTAAAAGAGGAAGAAAAACAAAAAGGAGGAAAGGAAAAGAAAAAAAGTTTTAATATATATATCAATATCAATACAACAAAATCCGGCCAAGTTCTAGGTTGAAACGCATGCACACTTACTCTCTTTTGAGGCGATCTTCTCGGGGTGGCTTTCGAACCTGGGGATTTGGTACCCACTTTCTTTGGCGTCTTCATGTCGAAGAGGGTCGCTTGCTTCATCTTCTTGGAATTTTCCTTGACTTCTTCTGGTACTTCCCTCTTCTCGCTCTTGACCAGGGGCACAATGCCCGGCGGCGTCTTTTGTTCTGGAGGCGTACTGGATTTCGGAGATTCTGTGTTACCGTTTTTCATCTTTGGCGAACGACTTGCAAGCACCGCAAGGGACACATCGTCATCACTGTCACTTGACTCCAACTTCACTTGGGTTTGTAATTTCGGGGGAGTTTTCACGGGGCTTTCTGCTTTGGGCGACACCTTGGGCGACACCTTTGGAGTCCGCTTTGACCCTGGCTTAGGGCCGGGCTTGCGCTTGGGGGCATCAGGGTCGCGCTTCACTTTTTTAGTTGCCTCCTTGTCTGTCTTGGGCTTTGGCTTTTTCACTGTCTCCTCTGGTTTCTCCGACTTTGGCTTTTTCACCTTCTCTTCACCCTGGCCTTCCAGCTTTCTCTTCTTGGTGACGGCACCCATCCTCGGCTGTGTGAATATGGAGGCCAACTTACCCTGGATGTTGTACTGTTTTACAAGTTCCTCTGTCACGTTCCAAGGGGTGTAACAGCTCGACCGTTGTCTGATGGCATTGGCTCTTATAAAGAGACGAAAGTGTTCTTTGGGAGGAATTTTGTATGTTCGCCTGTGGGAAGAAAATAAAGTAATGTGAAAAATGTAATGAACAAAATGGAGAATGAAAAATGGGAAGATTGCAAAATGCTATTTACCTCATCGTGGTCTAACATTCGCTTCACAGGTGATGAAGGTGCTAGTGTTAGAATGCTGCTTTACCTTCCCCTTTACCTGATCTTCTACTAATTTCATCTTACCCTTAATTCATAAAATAGCAAAGTTTCCACATCCCTCAATTATTGTGTAATTATATGAGATGTGAGTTTTGATCAATCACTCTGCATGATACACGATATGCAACAGCCACTGCAACACACCCATGAAGGCATGATTCAATGCACATGTAAAAGATATTGTAGCTCAAATATTTACACCACTAAATCAGATACTGTCAGCAATGAAGGAGCAGACTGCAACTGCAGCAGAGTCCAAATGACACTAAAATCTACACACAATTACAAGTCTATTGGGTCTAGTTAATGCAACCAAGAGGAGTGCAGTAACACAGATAATGGCTTACTAAGAACAAACAATGCTCTAAAAGAATGGCATAATAGATCTACTAGGAGGTTGTCAGATCATCCTTGCTACATACTTGTGAATAACAGCACAAATTGCCACTGCATTGTGATGTTATGTGACTGGCAGTCATCATATTATAAGGCAAGAGTAATAGTTTCAGACAAAAAGGCTGTAAGCACTTATTGCAATCAGACAGCTGTACATTTGAACGTCTGCCTTGTCTACATCAGGTAGTAAAGTTAATCCTGACACTTGCTAAGCTGCCTTTCAGATACTACATATCAAATGTGTTACGAATTCAAAACATTTGATATGCTCTTCCACATATAGACCACTTTATAATTTTATTTATTCAAGATGTCTAAGTATCAGAATGGAGCACTCACTGCAGATTTTTCGCAGGAACGTCTACGATGTTCCTGTCTTCCCCAATGACGGAAACATCGTAGAGCAATGGCAACAGTTTCTTCTTTCCAGCTGCGTCCTCCTTTCCTTTCCCACTGCTTGGGCTGGTCTCTTCACTCTCTGTCACCCCATTTCCTGTGCCATTAACAACTGAATTTTCATTTTCTGGCGGTGAGCATCCGTTCGCAACTTTTGGGGTGGTGGGTGTAGGAGACTGGGGGGCCTCCTTTGCTGTGTGTTCTTCCTCAGCGGCACCATTTTCTGTTTTAATTTGTACCGGAGCTTCCTTTGACCCTGTCACACGTACTTGTACTCTAAGGAAATAAAAAGTACATATCTTTAAAAAACCACATCCACAAATAAGCATGGGTATGCACACATGTACATTTATGTATGTCATATTTTTTAAAAATCATGAAAGTGCTGAACAAAACTTGAGAGGAACAGAGAACAAAACTACGATTTAACAAAAATATTTGAAATACTTAC